AAATGGATAATATGGTGAGTTTTGGCAAATAGATATGCTTTTATATCCCACACCCCTATCAAGACATTTAAAAAAAAAAATGTCTATCACCTCAAAAACTTCCCTTGAGCCCTTTTCTGGTCAGTCCCCAAACCCAGAAACAACCATAATTTTTATTCTTTTCATTATAAATTACTTTTTTCTTTTTTTTTGAATGTCATGTAAATATATATCATACACACTTCAGTATCTTGCTTCTTTTGCTTAGCATAATGTGAGATTTATCTTTGTTTTTTAATATATCAGTGGTTCTATCCCTTTTATTACTAAGGAGTATTCCTTTGTGTGATCATGGCAAATGTTTTATTAATTTTTTATCAATAGTTGGATTGTTTCCACTTTAGTTTTGTGATAGTCTTTTTTTTTGTAATGTCAACTTAGCTAGGCTACAGCCCCCAGTTGTTCTGTCAAACACTAATTTGGGTATTGCTGTGAAAGTATTTTATAGATGTAATCAAAGTCTACAAGTAAAGGAGTTAATCTAATTACATTCAATAAGCATTTTTTTTTCCTTTGAGACAAAGTCTCAACTCTATCGCCCAGGCTGGAGTACAGTGGTGTGACCTTGGCTCACTGCAACCTCTGTGATGCCCCTGCCTCTGCCTCCCAAGTAGCTGGGATTACAGGTGCCTGCCACCATGTTCAGCTAATTTTTGTAATTTTAGTAGGGACTGGGTTTCACCACGTTGGCTAGGCTGGTCTCGAACTACTGACCTCAAGTGATCTGCCCACCTCAGCCTCCCAAAGTGCTGGGATTACAGGCGTGAGCCACTGTGTTTGGCTACATTCAATATGATTTGCATTAAATAAGTGATAATCTGCCTGGGCCTGATTCAGTCCAGTGGAAGGCCTTAAGAGCAGAGCTGAGGCTTCTCTGAAGAGGAGATTCATTCTGTGCACTGCCGCTTCACCCATGCCTGAGAGTTCCTGTGCACCCTTTGGACCTGACTAGTCAGCTCCTCAATTGTGTAGGCCAATTTTTGGCAATAAATCTCTTCATATATATGTCCTACTGGTTCCATTTCTCTGGTTGAACAATGACTGATACAAATCTATTATAAATAAAGCTGCTATGAACATAATTCTTTGCAGTTTTTGTGAGCACACATTTTCAGTATTTGTTTAGTAGTAGTATTCTCTGCAGTTTTTGTGAGCATATATTTTCAATATTTGTTTAGTAGATATCTAGGGATGGAAGTTCTAGGTCAAACAATATGTGTATATTTAATTTTATAAGGGATTGCCAAACTCTTTTCCAAAATTGTTACACCAATTTATGTTCTATGAGCAATATATAATGAGATTTCCACTTCTTCTGCATCCTCGTCAACATTTAGTGTTGTCACTCTTTTTTTATTATTTTTTATTTTAGCCTCTCTTTTGAGTGTATGGTGGGTTCTCACTGTGATGTTTTTTTATTTGCATTTCTCTGATGACTAATAATGTTGAGCAATATTTCATGTGGTTGTTAGCCAGTTGTATATCTTCCTGTGTGAAGTTTATATTCAAGTCTTCTGTCCATTTTTCTAAATTGGGTTGTGGTTTTATATAGACATGTAGGAGTTCGTCACATATTCTGAACACAAGTCCTTTGTCAGATATTTGATTTGCAAATATTTTTTCTCCAGTCTTGTCTAAGCATTTTCCTGAAGGTGTTTTTTCATTGTTTGTTTGTTTGTTGTTTTTGTTTTGTTTTTTTGAGATGGAGTCTCGCTCTGTCACCCAGGCCAGAGGGCAGTGGCATGATCTCAGCTCAGTGCAACCTCCACCTCCCAGGTTCAAGCAGTTCTCCTGCCTTAGCCTCCCGAGTAGCTGGGATTACAGGTGCACGCCACCATGCCTGGCTTTTTTGTATTTTTAGTAGAGACAAAGTTTCACCCTGTTGTCTAGGCTGGTCTGAAACTCCTGACTTCAAGTGATCCACCCGCCTCAGCTTCCTAAAGTGCTGGAATTACAGGCATGAGCCACGGCGCTCAGCCCTGAAGGTTTTGATGACCAGAAGTATTTAATTTTGCTTATTCTAGTTTTTGTTTTGTAAATTTTTAAAAAACTTTTAACTAAAAAGTAAACTTTAATGTTGAAAATGCAAACTTGGGAAAGACAGAAAAGATCACACGCAAGTCTGTCACTTCACACTTGGAAGGTGACCTTCCAAGTACCCTTGCACAGTGGCCGGGCAGAGGCGCTCCTCACTTCGGAGACGGGGCGGTGGCCGGGCAGAGGCGCTCCTTACTTCCCAGACAGTGGGGCAGCTGGGCAGAGGCGCTCCTCACTTCCCAGACAGTGGGGCAGCTGGGCAGAGGCGCTCCTCACTTCCCAGACAGTGGGGCAGCCGGGCAGAGGCGCTCCTCACTTCCCAGTCAGTTGGGCGGCCGGGCAGAGGCGCTCCTTACTTCCCAGGCGGTTGCCAGTTGAGCAGAGGCGCTCCTCACTTACGGACTGTGGGCAGCTGGGCAGAGGTGCTCCTCACTTCCCAAATGGGGCGGCGGCGAGGCAGAGGCGCTCCTCACTTCCCAGGTGGTTGGCAGCTGAGCAGAGGTGCTCTTCACTTTGCGGACTATGAGCAGCTGGGCAGAGGCTCTCCTCACTTCCTGGACAGGGCGGCGCCCTGGCAGAGGCGCTCCTCACTTCCCAGGTGGTTGGCTGGCTGGGCAGAGGCGCTCCTCACTTCCCAGACAGTTGGCAGCTGAGCAGGGGGTGCTCCTCACTTGGTGGACTGTGGGCAGCTGGTCAGAGGCGCTCCTCACTTCCTGGACAGGTTGGCGGCCTGGCAGAGGCACTCTTCACTTCCCATATGGGGCGGCGGCCGGGCAGAGGCGCTCCTCACTTCCCAGGCAGTTGGCAGCTGAGCAGGGGGTGCTCCTCACTTGGTGGACTTGTGGGCAGCTGGTCAGAGGCGCTCCTCACTTCCTGGACAGGTTGGCGGCCTGGCAGAGGCACTCTTCACTTCCCATATGGGGCGGCGGCCGGGCAGAGGCGCTCCTCACTTCCCAGGCAGTTGGCTGGCTTGTTTTGTAAATGTTATGGTCGCTGCTTTCTTTATCCTGTCTAAGAAATTTATACCTACCCAATGTCGTAAAGCTATTCTCCTATATTTTCTTCTGAAAGTCTTACAGTTTTGTGTTTTATGTTTATGTCTGTGGTCCATCTCAAAATAATTTTTATTTGTAGTGTGTGGTCACAGTTAAGGTTTATGGATTTTTCTATGAATATCTACTTATTCCAGCAATATTTGTTAGAAAATATTTTTCTAACGGATTATTTTAGTACCTTTGTTGAAAATCAGTTGATGATACAAGTGTGATTGTACTTATGAATTCTGCTTAATTCCATTCAACTCTTGGTCTTTCTGAAGGCCAAGACTAAGTAAGTGTTCAACTTAGGGCGTTGAGTGTTCCAATTTTCTTGTTTTTTGTTGCTGTTCTTGTTGTTGTTGTTGTTCATTCTAGGTTCTTGGCATTTCCTTGTAAATTTTTAAGTCACCTTCTTAATTATTATTTTTTAATGTCTACTTGTGTTAAGATTGATATGAATCTTTATATCAAAAATTAACATTGTAACAATATTGAGTCTTCTATCTCAAGAGAGTATATGTCCCATTTAAGTTTTCTTTTTTTTTTTTTTTTTTTTTGAGACGGAGTCTCGCTCTGTCGCCCAGGCTGGAGTGCAGTGGCCGGATCTCGGCTCACTGCAAGCTCTGCCTCCCGGGTTTACGCCATTCTCCTGCCTCAGCCTCCCGAGTAGCTGGGACTACAGGCGCCCGCCACCTCGCCCGGCTAGTTTTTTGTATTTTTTAGTAGAGACGGGGTTTCACCGTGTTAGCCAGGATGGTCTCGATCTCCTGACCTCGTGATCCGCCCGTCTCGGCCTCCCAAAGTGCTGGGATTACAGGCTTGAGCCACCGCGCCCGGCCTTCTTTTTTTTATAGTGTCTTTTTTTTTTTTTTTTGAGATGGAGTCTTGCTCTGTGGCCCAGGCTGGAGTGAAGTGATACAGTCTCCACTCACTGCAACATCTGCCTCCTGGGTTCAAGCAATTCTCCTTCCTCAGCCTCCTGAGTAGCTGAGATTACAGGCACACACCACAACGCCCAGCTAATTTTTGTATTTTTAGTGGAGACGGAGCTTCACCATGTTGGCCAGGCTGGTCTTGAACTTCTGACCTCAGGTGATCCACCAGCCTCGGCCTCCCAAAGTGCTAGGATTACAGACGTGAGCCACTGCGCCCGGCCAGTAGTGTCTTCTTTGTTGTTACATTTATTCCTAGGTATTTTATGGTTTTTGACATTATGGGTAATGGATTTTTAAAAAATGTTTATTTTCTCATTGTTTGTTGCTAGTATACAAACATACCCTTGATCTTACTAAGTTTACTTACATGCTTTTTCTTTATTTTAATTTCCTCTCTTTCTTTCTTTTCTTTTCTTTTTTCTTTTTTCTTTTTTTTTCTTTTGAGACTGAGTCTCACTGGGTCTCCCACTCTGGAGTGCAGTGGCACCATCTCGGCTCACTGCAACCTCCGCCTCCCAGGTTCAAGCAGTTCTCCTGCCTCAGCCCCCCAGTAGCTGGGATTAAAGGCGCACACCTCCACGCCTGGCTAATTTTTACATTTTTAGTAGAGGTGGAGTTTCACCATGTTGGCCAGGCTGATCTCAAACTTCTGACCTTAGGTAATCCACCCGCCTATGGGATTACAGGTGTGAGCCACTGCGCCTGGCCTCTCTCTTTAGTTAGTGATTCCTTAGAATTTGCTATGTAAACAATCATGATATCTACAAATAGGGACAGTTTGACTTTTTTTTTTACGTTCTTTATGCCGTTTTGTTTCTTTTCTTGCTTTATTGCACTGGCTGGAGAGACCTTCAGTACAGTGCTAAACAGAAGTGATTCTTGCCATGTTGTGGTAGGTGGAATGTTTTTGCCATTAAGTGTGAAGTTAATAGTGACAGATTGTTTGTTTCAGGTACTGAGCAGTACAGTGAATACACAGGCTATGCCGAGACATATCGTTGGTCCCGGAGCCACGAAGATGGGAGTGAAAGGTAAGTCTGTTTCTGTCTTCAGTATTCCATGACTAAAAACAAAGGAATTTGGGCTTGACCCTCACACACTCTCATTCCCTCTGCTTGTATTTCAGCAAGTGAACTTAAAAAGGAAAAAGAAAAGAAATCAGCATTACAGATTCATTGTCATTTAAAACACTATTAGCACCTTCCTGTACCAAAGGGAAGAACAGAGAAGATAAAACGAAAAGTCTAAAGCAAAGACAAAGAGGGGCAGAATTCTCTACAGTTCTTTACCTCTGAGCTACAATCAGAAGCTGTGGAGGTTAAATTCCGTGTTTAAATCTGAGTAGAATAGGTTCTAATTAGAGCTTAAAGCCTTTGACCAACTTACTAAGTTACATTTAATTTTTCTGTGAAATTAGATAGAGGAAACCTATGTTGTGACAGTTGACCTAATGCCACAAACCAGTTGATGGCAGAACCTGCAGTGTGGTTTGCTGCTCCTGTCTCCTATTTCTTCTTGAAATATAGTCTTCTACTTTGACAGTCTTGCTTCTAGTTTACCAGAGATAAAATTTTGCAGAAATGCTACCTGAAAGCTTGTGGGATTTTTTGTTTTGTTTTATTTTGTTTGTTATTTGATGAGAAAGCCATTGTGGCAGAAACAATCAGCTCTTGCCCACGTGCCACAAATTTATTCCTCGTAATGTCTCAAGTCCATCCTCTGCTTTCTTTCTCTTTATTTTTTTAAAATATGTGGTTGCAACAAACATCTATGTAGATGTTTATTCCTGATAATTATTTACAAACCAGCATAAAGATTTCTATTTTGGTTTTCGGTTTGAAAAGTTGCTTGGCACAGCAATATATGCAAGTTCATAAAGAGATTAAATATTTGGGATTTTACATGTTTCCAAAATTATCATCTCAACCATTGCTTTCTATTTCCACAGGCAACATGGTATTGTCTGCTTTGATGTCTTTGTTATTTTAAAAAGTTTCTCACAGTCAGCAATTGAGCACAGTAGGTAGAATGCTGTACTGAATTATTTCACATTTTTGTAACACTTCTTAGGAATTTCCTGGACAGTACATAGTGATGTTACAACCCCAGTGATTTAAAGCGGATCTCTCAAAGCAAAGGAGGAATGAGCTTTTGTCAAGATGCAAATGCCATGTCCTTAGTATTAGAGGAAAACAAAGAACTAGATTCCTTTTGTTTGCCCCCAAATCCTTTAACCTCTGAGACTTACTATAAATGATTTACCTGTTTACACTATGTCATTGTGTTGTCTCTGGGTAATTTTTCATTTTACTCTTTAATGTCTGACAGTGCACACTGTATATGCCTCAATCTAAAAATAAAGGGTGTTTCCTTTCTTTTCCTTTCCTTTTGCTCAGACCTGCAGACACTGGTTTGTTTGTTTTGAATATTTTAACACAGCTAAAGTCTTGGCAACCTGACCCCTGAGAGGATTTCATTTGAGCGACTGACTACCTGTTCCTTATCTTTTCTCCCCTTTCCATCCTGTCCCAGGGACGACTGGCAGCGGCGCTGCACTGAAATCGTTGCCATCGATGCTCTTCACTTCAGACGCTACCTCGATCAGTTTGTGCCTGAGAAAATCAGACGCGAGCTGAACAAGGCCAGTAACCTTATTTCTTAGTTCATCCGGCAGCTGTCATCTATTTACTGCCATTTTATTAATGCTGAAATTAATGCTTTCTGGTAATTCTTGCAGTGTCAGTATGTCTGCCCACAGCTCTCCTGATTTAATGGCTGTGTCAGCTTGTACAAGATGTACTTTCCATTTTGTAATTGTTTGATTAGCAGCTAAGGTTGCCAGATAGGCTGTTGCTTAGTTTTAAACCCCACACATGCATTTATCTCATCAAGTACCTTAGCTGCTATGGAACATTATCATTGTAAAACCATATAGAAACAAATGAGCTCTGAAAATTTTTTCTCAGACCTGCTTAATGACATTTTCTCTACAAAGTATGCTATCAGGGTTAAAACAGAAAAACTGAAAAAGCCAGGTCAAATGTTCTATTTTAGGTAAGATTTATGATGGAATCTATTATTTTCTGTAATACTTAGTGCTGCCTACTATATTCATTTTTTTTCTTTTTTATTGTATTACAGAAATATAAAAATGAGCCATACCTGTTGTTCAGATTTTCAGTATTGGCAACCATAATAAATAAACTCTGTTACACAATAGAGAGCTGATTCTGTTCTCTGGATTTTGGGCTTTCCCAAAACAGCAGAGATTTTCTTTAGTTCCTCAAATTATTCACTCAGTAGAGATTTTCTTTTTTTTTTTTTCTTTTTGAAATGGAGTTTCACTTTTGTGGCTGAGGCTGGAGTGCAATGGCGTGATCTTAGCTCACTGCAACCTCTGCCTCCCGGGTTCAAGCGATTCTCCCGCCTCAGCCTCCCAAGGACTAAGATTACAGGTGCCCACCACCACACCCAGCTAATTTTTGTATTTTTAGTAGAGATGGGGTTTCACTGTGTTAGCCGGCCTGGTCTCGAATTCCTGACTTCAGGCAATCCTGCCAGCCACGGCCTCCCAGAATGTTGGGATTACAGGAGTGAGCTACTCCGCCCAGCCTAGAGATTTTCTTTAGTTCCACAAATTATTCACACAGCCAAGAAGACTGACCCAATTCTGAAGATCAGTGTTTCACTCCCATGAGTAGGATTTGGTTATGAGATTATTAGGATAATGAGGCTTGTGGTTTTACATGGTTCTACATGGTGTGCCAGTTCCTACACAGACTTCTGAGAATAATAACAGTGATCTAGACAGACTTTTACTACACTTAAAACTTAGTAGATATTTTGAACATAATTAAGTATCTTATATCCTGATCTATTTGGGAGAATCTAATTTATTGTTGAACATATTCTCGTATGTATAATTTTTTAAATTATTTTAATGTTTAGAGTTCTCAAACTTTATAAAATGTTTGAAGAATAATGCACTATTTTTTAAAGTTGAACTTACATAACAGACATCATTTATTTAAAAAGAAAAAGAAAAAGTAATCCCTCAGAAAAGCTATCCAGAATGTCTGGCCTTTGATGTATCAACAGTTCTAAAGTTCTCTCCTACCTGATTCTGAAAGTCAGAGATTTGCCTGTACTGAAGATTATCTTTTTTTTTTTTTTTGAAGCAGGGTCTTGTTTGCCTAGGCTGGAGTGCAGTGGCACGCGCGATCACAGCTCACTGCAGACTTTCAACCTCTCTGGGCTCAGGTGATCCTCCCGTCTCAGCCACCTGAGTAGCCAGGAGTACTAGTGTGCACCACCACACCTGGCTAATTTTTCTTTTATAGCTACACCGGGTTTCACCATATTGCCCAGGCCAATTTCAAACTCCTGGGCTCAAGCAATCTTCTCCGGCCTCAGCCTCCCAAAGTGCTGGGATTATAGGCATGAACCACAACGCCCTGCCTGAAAAGTATCTTTTACTAGCGATTAGATACATTTTAAATGTAAGCCTATTTTCACTGTTCCAAACTCTTGCCTTAAAGCAGTTGTCCCCAGTGCCATGAAGTTTTTATGATAGAGCATATCGAGTAGAATCAGTTTTATCTTTAAATTTTCATGAGGTTTTACTTACCCAATCATGTATATGTGAATTTGTCACATGGTCAAGAGGACATTTATATAAGCAGTAGATTGTTGGAGAGAAATATATGAAAAGGAAAGTAGAACCAAAATGTGTGTAGCCATGATTAATACATTAATACAAAGTGAAAGGTTCCCTATTTTATGAATGAAGTCTATACTCCCACATATACTTTTCTGTGAGAACTAGATCATTCACTTTTAGAAGTTATCCTCAATTTTTAAGAAGATAACTTCAGGCATAAGTCTTTTTTAAAATTGCCAGGTCCAGTTGATTCTCTCTGCACTTACTTGTGTATCACCAACCTTCAGTTTGACCATCCTCAGAGACACCAGAAATTTAAAAGATATATGTGAATAGGTTAAGTTAGTTGTAAATATTGGCAACATGGAAGAACATTTATTTATAGAATATAGAGTCCTCATGAGGGGCATTTGATACTAAGAATGAGTTTTTAAGTAATCTGGCAACAAGAGTTTTATTTCATTGGGAGTTGGCGGCTGTCAGTCACACTGCCTTATGGAAGTGTCTCAGAAATATTTTGTTAAATGACTTGATCGATAATTTAAAAACTTTTTTTTTTTTTTTTGAGACGGAGTTTCACTCTCGTTGCCCTGGCTGGAGTGCAATGGCACGATCTCAGCTCACTGCAACCTCCGCCTCCCGGGTACAAGTGATTCTCCTGCCTCAGCCTCCCAAGTAGCTGGGACCAGAGGCACGCACCACCACGCCAGGCTAATTTTTGTATTTTTAATGGAGATGGAATTTCATCACGTTGGCCAGTTTTGTCTCCAACTCCTGACCTCAGGTGATCCGCCCATCTCGGTCTCCCAAAGTGCTGGGATTACAGGCATTAGCCACCACGCCTGGCCTAAATAACATCTTAGACAATGTTAATTTAGGTTTTCGAGGTAAACATTTTAGAATTTACATAAGTACATTATCTTAAATCACTCAATATATCACAAAATGTTATATATTTCCTAAATACTCTTCGAGTGCTCAATAAAGCCTAGTAAGTTGAGTGTCAAATCAAGTTTGGGACAGATGAAGCCATATGAAGCAGAGGGATTCATTTTTAATGTATAGTGATGCAGGTGTACATTCATTTTCCACCTGCAATTATTCATGTCACTTATTCATGTCAATAAAGTCTAGTTTATAATTCATAAAAGATTCCTTTCAGTCAAATGCAGGTGGAATTTTTTTTTTTTTCAAATTATACAGATAACAATAGTAAATGATTGCTTACTCTGTATGAGGCATTCTACTTAGCACTTTAAATGCAGTGTCTGATTTAGTCCTAACCACTCAGGGAGGCATAACTATTTTTCTTGTCTCTAATTTAGAGATAGTGAGCTCACTTCTTAGGAAGTTGAGTAATTTGTCGCAGGCCAGGTCACATAGCTGGTCAGTGACCAAACCAGAGCTCAAATCCAGGCTCCCCTGACTTCAAGTCTTTTTTTTTTTTTTTTGAGATGGAGTTTCTCTTGTTGCCCAGACTGGAGTGCAATAGCATGATCTCGGCTCACTGCAACCTCTGCCTCCCGGGTTCAATCAATTCTCCTGCCTCAGCCTCCCGAGTAGCTGGGATTACAAGCATGCACTACCACACCCGGCTATTTTTGTGTGTTTAATAGAGACAGGGTTTCTCCACTTTGGTCAGGCTCATCTCAAACTCCCAACCTCAGATAATCTGTGCACTTCGGCCTCCCAAAGTGTTGGGATTACAGGCATGAGGCATTGCGCCCAGCCAAATCATTTTTTAAAAATGTAAGTCCTCCACATAGAGACTACTATAACTAGGTCTGACCTTCTAGACTTTTTATGGTTCAAACTTAAATCATTGAGAATGTTTCTGCTTTTGGAATAGTCTCCTACCTGCTTATGCCTGAATCACTCTTCTTTTGTGGTCATAAACTTCTGCTATGAGCAAGGTACCTGTTAAATGCTTTTCTCAATATGCTTTTCTGTTTGATACACTTTTTCAAGGAAATTTGAGGGTTCCCTGCTATTTTTCAAATTCCTGTGAGACAAGGAACTACCTCCAGTGTAATAGAGCCTATCAACACTTGGACTAACTTTGAGAAAGCACCTAGTTCAGAGCCTGGCACATGGGAAGGCATCTGATAAATGTGCGTTCTTTTATTCACTGATATATTCCAAAAAATGTGTTCTTTTAGCAAATAATTAGTTTTTAATTCTTTCACTGAAAAAGGAAAAAGCAGTAAATGATTTTGTTAAATATCATTGGCAACTTAATTAGAAATTAATCCAAACAACTTTAGGCCTTCTAAATTAAAGCATTTGTCCCTTACTAACTACATTTACCTATTAAAATTGACTTAAGAATTTTGGTTATGAGCAGCAGGAATCTCACATAAACTGACAGCACAACTTGGAGACAATGTTTAATATTTTGTATCTCATGTTTTGCAAACTTTGTTTTAGAGCAGAAGTCTGTGTGAAATCACTTTAGAGATGACTTGCACAATTCTGCTTGTGTGTGTATACATGCCAGAGAGAAAGGAGGAAAAGAAAAAAACCCACATTTTTCTAAGTGAAAAAGCAGTAAGACCAGTTTTCACCGTCAGAATTCAGTATGGATCTCTGACCTCTGGGGACCTGTTTGCTACTTTTAAGCATTACTCACCAGTTAATAATTGAAAAGCCAATCCTACAAAGTGCTTTCCAGGCCTCTGGAAAAGGTCTGCTCCGTCCAGGCTCCGCCGGTCTTACTGGACCCACTTCATGACCTGCAAGTAGAGTTGGTTTTTAAAGGAGGGAACCAGTCTCCTTTTATCTGACTGATACTGTGAAGCAATGTTTAATCCTGTGAGAGATCAGCTGGGTGTCATTCTAAAGGAGAATTATCTTAGGATTAGAAAGATTTATGACTTCGTCTTGTAAAAGTGGCAAATAGCGCTGCAAGAGAAGAAAGAAACCACCTGTGAAAAGTTGTATTTGCCATGTTAGGTAGGATTTTAGGTAGGATTAAGTAATGAGTATGTTTTGTGGAGCTTTCTGAATCTGAAGTTGAACAAGGTGGAGAGATAGAAATCATCCCTATTTACCTTTTTAAAAAATTGATCTGTTTATTGATGTTTTTGTTATTATTCACCACTATATTTGGAATAGGTCTGTTATTAAACCAAAGCTTGATAACAAAACCAGTCAATATTTGCTGCTGATATTTCTAAGAAATTGAGCATCTGAGCACTTATAATCTTTTCATAAAATATGTGTCACTTTACTTTTCAAGAATGTTCCAAATGTATCATTTGTAGTGGGTTTTCCCTTAAGTTTCCCAACATATAGAATCAGAATAACAATTAAATACATATCCCAATCTTGGATTTTATACATCAGGAAACTAAGATCTGCATACTTCTTTCATTTTATTTTGCATTTTAGAATAGCAAAAACAATGTTTTAATGTTATAATTATTTTAGAGATAAAGTCTAATCCCAGCTACTCGGGAGGCTGAGACAGGAGAATCACTTGAACCTGGGAGGTGGAGGTTGCAGTGAGCTGGGATCATACCAGTGTACCCAACCTGGGCATTAGAGCCAGACTCCGTCTCAAAAAAAAAAGTCGTAAGAAATCACAGAATACTAAAAACCTCAGAAAATCAGTATCAATATCTACTCTGTATTAAGTTAAAGAAGTATAGTAGATTGATTTCATATAAATGAGCAACTCTTTAGGAACAATAATTATTAAATTATTCTAGCAAATAGAATAATGTATTTACATGATAATGAAAGAAATCTTTAAGTAAAATCATGCATCACTTAAAGATGGAGATACGTTCTGAGAAGCAGTCACTGTGCACATATCACAGAGTACTTACACAACCTAAGTGGTATAGCCTGCTACTCACCTAGGCTAGATGGTATGGCCTCTTGCTCCTAGACTGCAAACCAGTAGAGTATGTTACTGTACTGAATACTATAGGCAGTTGTGATGCAATGGTAGGTATTTGTGTCTTAAACATAGGACAGGTACTATGAAAATATGGTATTTTAATCTTATGGGACCATCATCGTGTTTGTGCTTCATTGTTGACTGCAACATCACTATGCAGCACGTAAGTGTCTATCTGCTTGGGCCTGCTAAAATTGATACTGAAGCCAAAGATCTTACTTAAGTGTGCGTGTGCACATTTGTGCCAGACTATTCCCCTGGATACCATTTATTTCCTGGGCCTCATTTTGGGCCTGTAGACTCTTATACCAGTTTTGTTTGGTCTCTTTTCCATTTTCTTTCCTTCTTTCCTACATCTTTATCATTACCATTTCCTGATTGGTCTCTGGATTTTAACTCTAGGTACCAATATTTTCATCTTGCTTCTCAACACACCCCTTTGTGACCTTCAGGACTCCCAAATTACCTTTCTGTTCCCTGTCTTCTTCCCTTCCCATCAAAACTCATTCCAAGATAGGGTTGTTCATTGGTATCTTCTGCTTACTATCCTGAGGTCTCAGTGCTTCCTTTTTCTTTTCCCCCTTCTGAGTTGTTTATTAGTAAAAATAAATTGCTCTGTCATTGCAGAATATCAGGCCAGGGTATGGCCAGAGTTCAAGCTGGCTTTCTTTTACCCTTGCAGCTCTCTGATCAGTCTTCTCAAGTACTCTTGCTCTGGGTGAGGGAAAACAAACACATATGCCAGTATAGAGCTCTTGAGAATTCCTAGTGCCTTTCTCTATGGAGTGAGAACTTGGCAACTCTTTTGAGGCCTCTATCCTTATCTGAGCTTTGTTTCTTTACCAAAGGAGTTCAATTCCTACTCATTAAAGGAAAGGTGCCCTGATTCAAGGCTCTGCCCTGGTCTCCAGCGCTTAAGGTATCCTTCTTCCTAGAAAAGGGAGAAGCCTGGGCTGACCTTCCAGAGAGGGCTTGGGGCAGCATACTACCGCTGTCTTATTTTTGACCTTACAAATGCTTGCTTCTTAACAGAATAAAATAATTTTGTATTTAATCGTTATAACCAGTTATTCTAATTTCTATGTAATTTTATCATTTAATTTTTATCTGATTAATATTTTTTGGTGGCAGGGATGGGGGATAGAGTCTCACTGTCACCCAGGCTGGAGTGTGGTGGCGCCATCATGACATCATCACTGCAGCCTAGACCTCCCGGGCTCAAGCAGTCCTCCCACTTCAGCCTCCCAAGTAGGTGAGACCACAGGCATGCGCCACTACACCTGGCTAATTTTTTTGTTTTGTAGAGGCAAAGTCTTGCCATATTGCCCAGGCTGGTCTCAAAACTCCAGAGCTCAAGCGATCCTCCCACTTCAGCCTCCCAAAGTGCTGGGGTTACAGCCATGAGCTTTTAAAAATTTGATCTAAACACTGAATGAGGTTTATTTTCAGTTTCATGGTTTGTTTTTATGGCCATTTTTCAAGATAGATAATTTTCCAGGAAAATTTGATAATATTTTATACTAGATTTTGCTTCTAATAATTTAAATGTTTCAAATTCTCAATCATTAGGCTTTAGTTTCACTAAGCTGTTTTTGCACATTGAAGTAAAGTTAACCCAGTTATTTAGAGACAACAGTAAGAAAGAAACTAAAACCATCCTGACAGTATAAAACGCAGAAATGAACTAGGAATCTGAGGAAGCCTCCTTCTCTCTAGGCGTGTTAGAAAATTCTGACATGAAACAAAGCGGCAAAGTTATGTTTATTCTTCCAGAGGGTTTGTTCTCTCCCTTGTTGGTATAATGACACAGACTGTCTTTCAAGAGCCTATTCAAAACAAATGTAGCTCTTAGATTTTTTTGACCTGAAAGAGATTTTCAGAAGCTCCATGCGTCTGACTATGCAGGTAATTTGTGAGTACTTGTGTAAGCTCTGTACTACAGTGTTGAATAATGATCTGGTACCAACTTATAATTAATATCTGTCAGGATTTACAGTCTAGGAGGGTATGGAAGGAATAGCCTTGTTAATCCATCGAGACAGTCTGTAAAATAAATTTTTATACCTTTGTGAAAACTTCAAAGAACAATTTACTATATTTCTATGTGTGGGTTTCATAGAAGCATCTTTCTTTATCCTTGGTTTTTCTCTGGGAACATTTGTCAAGATCATTCTTTTAATTGTATTTGCTATTATATGTAAGCTATATTTTAGGCTTTGTTTGGAACTTGAGAACCCAGGGGAGTTTTGCTTTGCTGTTATATTAAACCTGTTATAGTCTGATCACTTCAGAAAATAAGAATGTAGAAAGAAGGCAGAAAGACCAACTAGTTGACAGCAAAGAGGTGGAAATCAGGAACTCTGGGATCTTACACAATGGTCTTCTCATATAGAAAATGAGCTGTTCATTTAATTAATACTTAGCCAGCATCCTCAGAATATATTTTACTTTTCTCAGATTACCGGCAAATTTTTAAATATTCTAGCTTAAAACAGAGCTGTGAAACTAGAGAATCTTAGAGCCGAAAGGCATCTTAAAGGTTATTTCATAACCAGGTGTAGGAATCCCTTCTATAGACAGTTGCTTGCTCTTTGTTACGTATTTCAGTAGCAGGAAGCACATTTATTAATCTAGTCTCCATAACTCAGAGAGAGAATGCTGAGGAGGCATAATAGTGACCCTTTGCCTGATGAAAAGAATAGTGATTAAAGCCTTCAAACAAAAAGAAAACTGTTCTAACAAGTGCCTTTCTTTTTTGGTGGTTTTTCCTAGTAGTTTATAATTGGGATCCTATTAGTTCTTGAAATATCTCTGCTATTTTCATTTCTGTTTGTTTGAAGTGGAAAAAGAAATTGGGACCTGTATTAGTTTAAGGGATTTTATTTGCTTAGCATTCAAACAAATAAATATTAGAATTTATCATTTCTTAGTCTCTTCCTTGCATAATCCCAGGTTTTTCTCTCCCTTCTTCCTTCTTTGTTTTTCCCTCTATTTTGGCCCCTATGGGGAAAAAAAATGAGAAGTTGAACATAAGCTTAATACTGGACACCGATCCTAGTACATTAGTCAGAAACACTGTTAGTGTCTAGGCACTCACAGGCTTTGATATTTCTTTTATCCTGCAGGCTTACTGTGGATTTCTCCGTCCTGGAATTTCTTCAGAGAATCTTTCTGCAGTGGCCACAGGAAACTGGGGCTGTGGTGCCTTTGGGGGTGATGCCAGGTTAAAAGGTAAGTTGTTGTAGAGAAGGATAAAAGCATTCTGACCACGAAAAAACGTTAAAGCCAGATTGCTAATGTCCTGTCATGAGACCACAAAAATCTAAGAGAAAAGGAAAAGGAATATTTAACACTATTTTCTTTTTTCCTATTATGTTTAAAGTAATTCTTATTTTAATTTATCATTTTCCTGCAAAGGTTGCTTATCACTTTGATCTCCCAGGACACAGTATTTCATTGAATATTGAAAGGTTGGCAGGGGGAGAAAAGCATATAATGACTGTGAAGTTTCAAACCTGAGCTTGCACTCAAGCACTTCCCTTCACTGGAGTGATTTTTATGGACAGTTATTTCATTGACTCATTCATCCACCAAACTTAATAGCACCTCTGCCACTTTCTAGGCACAGTGGTAGGCTCTGAGAATACAAAGATGGAGAAGATGTGATGCCTGCTTTGGAATTCACAGTCCAGCATATGAGAGAGAGGCAGTATGAGACCGATGCAGTACATGGGAATGAGTGCTGTAGTGGAGGCCCACGGGGCTGTGGGAGCACAGCCTGGGAGAGTTGCATGAATGACACAGATAGGAGGCATCTGGATGTCCAAGAAGCAGAAACATTTCTTATGTGTTATTGTTTGTGGTAGGAAATTCACAAAACCCGATCAACAAAGCTATTGGCCATTTATTACATTGACATTTTTTCGAAGTATCAGTTACAGAAAATAATACTATATCATTACTTAGGATGATTACTTTTCCATTTCATCCCAACTGATCTGACACCACCTGGATGTACTGCATTGCAAATGACACCAACTACCTGGAGTAATTGCAGATCTTGCCTATTGAGGACAGAGTCCACAAGATTGCCCCCACTTCAGACTCCATCCACAAGTTTCAGGGGGATTCCCAGGCCACTCACATTTCTGTCCAGCTGGTTGCTGTTCCAGGAGGTTCCCATGTCCCCACCTCAGGTTTGATAATTCACTAGAAGGACTCACAGAACTCAGAAAAAAGTCCTGTCCTTACCATGACAGTTTTATTATAAAGGAAACACATAAAGCGAAGCCTAGAAGGGAAAGCAGAGCTTCTACAACCCTTCCCCTTAGTGTCAGGGCACCCCACTCTCCCGGCACATCAGTCTGTACACCAGTCAGGAGGCTGCACTGACCTTTGGTGACCAAAGATTTCATTGAAGTCTCATTCTGTAGGCATGATTGATTAAATCATTGGCCACATGATTGAGCTCGGTCTCTGCCCTCCCCTGACTCCCAGGAGTGCAATGTGAATCACCTGATTAGCAGAACAAAAGCACCAGCACTCAGGAAATTCCAAGGGTTTTTGAAGCTTCTACCAGGAACCCAAGATGGCACGCCAGAAAAATTCTTTGTTATACCACAGTTAACAAAGTAAAGCAGACATAAAACAGCCAGCTGGCCTTAATAGCCAAACTATATTTAGATAAAATTCATCTCTTTGGGAATGCTTGAGTCTGTCATAATGTAACTGCCTTTCCCCTCATCAGTAAAATGCTTCTTAATATTTTTATAAAAATGACACATTTATTATTTCTTTTAAATCCAGAAAAATACCATGAAGTGTATAAAAATCACCAGAATTCACTGTCAGCATTTGGTGGCCATCCTTCAGGTCATCTCTGTGGCAATCTGTGTAACTGTTGATGAGGTGACAGCCTCTATTCTATTCTACAGCCTCCTCTTAGAAAGTCTGCAGTCTCATGGATAGTTTTCAACTATCCATCTAACAAACGTAGATCTACTGAGTACTCAGCATTTGTTAGTGGCTACACAGTATTCTGTTGTATGCATATATGTATCATAATTTATTTCACAGATTCTCCATTCACAGTTTGTTTTCATTATATTATAAGCAGTACTACAGTGTGTAGTACAATTATATATATATATAAAATGTGTAATTAAGGTAAATTCCTAGAGGTGAGATTAATGACTCAAAGAATATGTATACTTCATTTTGATCCTTGTAGATTGCACTCTGAAAGGTGATATCAATTCCCGTTGTCTTCCTCACATGAACAGCATCACCACGACAGGACTTTGTCATTCTTTTTCATTTCTTTGAGGGGTAACAGTTTTCATGTTTATTGGCCATTTGTTTGTTTTGTGAATTGCTTTTTCATGCCTTCTGCCCATTCATCTCTTTGGGAGTAGTTTGATTTTATCACTAGCTAATAATAACTCTTTGTATGTTAAAACATATTAATTGTTTAACTGTTATATGTTACAAACATTTTTCTGCTTCATTTATTTCTACTGATTAGGCTGAAGTTACTGAGTTAGCTTTTATGTGTTCACATTTTTGTGGTGTGCTTGTAAAGATCTTTCCTGTCCCTTTATGCTAAAGACTTTCGCCTATATTTTCTTCAAATTCTAAGACAAAAACTGCATGGTACTATTTTCAGTGTTTGAGGAAACCTGTTTTTCAGTCTGGGCTTATTGATCTTAAGACAGACACTTTTTTCCTGTCTTTCTCTTAAGTAAAATGAATGACTAGATTCAAGTCATCAATCCAGAAGCTAGGTCTGCAGTAAGCCATGGTCATTTGTGATAGACAGTTTGGAAAGCTTTATAAATGTGTTCACTTCTTTTCCTTTTTTCTTTTTTTCTGGCTTAAAAGCCTTTCAGACTGCAGCTGTGCCTGCTCTGGTGCCTATCAAGCATAGTAGTCAAAGATTTCCATTATATAATTCCTCAACCATTGAGATTTAAATTTTGGAGTAACTGTGACATTTCCCTCCCCTTCATTAGCCTAAATACTCATTAAAAATTTAGAATGAGTCATAATGTCCTTCAGTGGGGAATTGGTTACTAAAACTATGATGCTAAAAAAAAAGAAATTATGGTACATTTATACAATAAAATATTATGCTTCCTTTAAAAACCATTATAGAAATGTATCTGTTGACAGGGAAAGATGGTTTTGGAATATCGACAAATGGGAGAAATACACAATGTATGCCATATAAACCATTTTAAAATTAAATTATGGATATAAAATATCACACACAAATTTGAGGTTCTCTATGTTTATCTGTTTATGTGCCGAGATTAACTATGGTTCGTCTGTAGTGGGTGACACTTTTTGTTTTGTTTTGTTGGGGTTTTTTCATTTTTTATTTTTAGTAGAGATGGGGTTTCACTATGTTGCCCAGGCTGGTCTTAAACTCCTGAGCTCAAGGGATCCTCCTACCTTGACCTCCCAAACTGTTGTGATTATACTTGTGAGCCACCACACCTGGTCAGTGATGTTTTATACTTTATTTTTAATCTGCATCTTTTTTATTGTGAGCATATATTGTTTTTGTAACAAAAAATCTTACAAAAACGTTCATGGTGGGTAACATGGGCAGGTATAAATCCTTAAACTTGTATTTCTTTAATTGTTAATAGAAATAAGGCTAAGCTGAGCACGATGGTTTGTGCCTATAGTCCCAGCTACTGAGGAGGCTGAGGTGGGAGGAATGCTCAAGCCCTGAAGTTCACTGTCAGCCTGGGCAACATAGTAAGACCACATCTCTTACAAAAAAAGAAAATTATAAAAGAAAGAAGGCAAAAAAATTTTTTTTTATTTTGAGACGGAGTCTTGCACTGTCACCCGGGCTGGAGTGCAGTGGCGCTATCTCGGCTCACTGCAGCCTCCACCTCCTGGATTCAAGCAGGTCTGCCTCAGCCTCCTGAGTAGCTGGGATTACAGGCGCCTGCCACCACGCCCAGCTAATTTTTTGTATTTTTAGTAGAGATGGGGTTTCACCATGTTGGCCAGGCTGGTCTCAGACTCCTGAACTCATGATTCACCCGCCTCAGCTTCCAAAGTGCTGGGATTACAGGCATGAGCCATTGCACCTGGCCAGCAAAATATTTTTAATATGCTTGTTACTTAATTGTATATGAGTTTTGTGTTTTACCACACTTCATTTGTTTGTTTGTGTAAGATACAGGGTCTCATTGTGTCACCCAGGCTAGGGTGCAATGAAGTGATCATAGCTCACTGCAGCCTCGACCTCCTGGGCTCAAGGGATCCTCCTGCTTCAGCCTCCCAAGTAGCTGGGACTGCAGGCATGCGCTGCCATGCCCAGCCTCACAATTAGTTTTGAACTACTTTAATTATACATTACTTTGACAACTGTTACGAGAACATTTTAAATATATTAGTTCATTCAATAGACAGTTTACTAACAACCTTCTTCCTCAGGCAGCCAGTGGCCTTAGGAGCCAGAGGCTAGGAGAGAAAGGACTAGGGGGAAATGGAGGGGCTTTGGACCTGGCTCCAGCAGCAGCCAGTGGCCTCCTGCGTGCCTGTGCCACCGAAGGGGCTCCCTGTGGCCTCCTGCCTGACCTGCATCTTTCTGAGCACCTTGTGGAAGTGCATGTGAAAGCTTTTGAGCCAGTGCAAGCTCTACTTATTTCTGGTGCTCCTAACTGTTCCAAAGTGACCCCCTAGTTCATACTTGGCTTTTAACATTTCATTGAAGTTTTAGCTGATTTATTCCTACCCGTTTGTGTGGTGACCACCTCTTTCTCCTGTTACTTTCAAAAATAAAACAGTTCATGTATTTTATCTTCTCAGAGGGGTTTGTCACCCTTTGGTTGCCTCAAAAACTCAGCTCTCCTATAAACTCAGAAAAAGTTACAATTTTGGCCTTTTCTCATGGTTGGAGTTTTTTTAACTTTCTACATCTCGTCTCAGCAGAGATGTTTGCATGGGAGGGCTTCTGCCTCAAATGTACCACCAGACCCGAGGCACCCATGAGAATTTTAGGAGATAACTTAAAATTTTCTTAATGGTTAGTTTGTTAAAAATTTTGCTTTTATCTCTTGTCTAATTTTATTGCATTGTAATCAAAGAATGTAGATAATACTATTTCTACTTTTTGGAGTTTCTCGAACTTCTCTTTATGACCTAACATAGTCAGTTATTGCAGACATGTTGACACTTGGAAAGGTGTCTCTGAAAGGTATAAGACTTAC